CGTGTGTGTGAGAGAGAGAAAAAGTGTGTTCTTATATTTGCCAAAATGAAAACAAATTAACAAAAAAATTGAATCTTAGAGTCGATAAATTGCGTAACGCTAACCGCCAACTCCAACCTCTATATCTGTGGAATAAACATAGTCTTTCTGCGGTGTCTCCTTTTGTTTTTGTTGTGTCTACACAATCTTGGGACAGCGTTAACACGATGTAAACATTGAAGAACAAAAAGAAAACAAAAGACAACCACATATGATTATTTTTTTCTCACAAAGTAGGCATGCTAATGCTCCATCTCTAGTTCTTATGCATGAATTATGCATGAAAAATAAAGATACAATAAAAGGCAGTTACTTCTGCACATTATTTAAACACAACAAAAAATAAAAAACGTACCCAAAAATCCATTAGCAGTGGAAATAATGATGGCGATACTGCATAACAAAGAGAACATAACTGGAAATAGTGTGTGAGTAAGGTTTTGGATTTATGTGTGTGCACATCGTAAAGGCATTGTTCTGAAGTAAAGCTACAACTCCCCATGGTTATCTATGCAGATGATACTTAGCTTCTGTCCCATTTAAAAGACTGGTAACGTTGATGTTACATACAAAAGGAGGTCAAGGAGAGGTAACTAGAGGTAAGGATTTTCCTTCACGTGAACACAGAGAAAATTACAAAAGGAATAACAGATAAAGAAAGAAACACTAAGGCATGTGCATTAGGTCTTCTTCCCACTCTACATGTCTAACAAACTCATCTTTTGTTCGGAGAACTCATAGAAGACACTGAAGAAAGATAACCTTTTTTTTTATCTTTTTGTTGTTTGATGGAGTGGTGTGTGACATTTGCCTCTGGAGGTCTGTGACTGTAGTGCACCCTACCCCCTCCCTTTTCGCTGTCGGGATCATGCTTTGCTCTCGTTGCCGTTTGTCTTTGCAGCTTCATTAGGGACTGTCTTAACCTCGGACAGGGTTTTCTTCACCTCTGTCACCGTCTCTTTACTTTTATCGTCTGTCACGATCTTACCGCTGTAGGGAAGGAGAGAACCACACAGAAAATTGAGATTATTTAAGTGATGAATACACAATCTCTTCCAGCACACAACTGTCTGTTCTAAGTGGCGTTTTGTCTTTAAAAAATGAAAAACAGTTGCTTCAGGTTTTTGAGGGAATTTGTATCCCCTGGAACCAAATGTGTTTCACACATAACAGGATCTGCTCTGCTATCCTATTCTGACATCAAAGATGGTCACGCGGATGTCACAGCCGTTTCATGGGAGAATGCACGGTTATATTATATTGGAAATGAGAGAGCAGAGATACAATACATTAGGGAATGGCACACTAGAACAGAACATCAATGCAATATTGAGAGGAGATACAGATGGTCTAAATTGAAGTAGGAGCGAATGATGAATGGGGAGAATGGAGAACGGAGAAGAAACTTCCCACATTAAGTCAATGACTGTGCTACAGAACATCCACTTCAAGACTGCAACATAATTACGCCTCATTGTCGTTTACCCCTTTGGTCTGGTGGTCACTAAATGTGTCACTGATTACTATCTTTCATTCTATCCAAAAGTGCAGTAAACTACCTAAGCTTTGTGACAGGGTCAGACATTTTTGCCTAGTCATGCAGTTTCACAAGTCATGCAGATCGCACTTTGATAATTCAATTAAATGAAGTCTAACTTGTATCTCATCAGATGTGACAGAGCAGTCTAGTCCGGGGTTAGTTTGTATTGATTGACTGTCAAGGGAAAAAACTAACTTCTGGGCCTGTATCTGTCAGCCTAATCATAAATGCTAATGAATAATCAAAATGGATCAAGCCGTAGAGCTGAGAATCCTGGAGTAACTTGGCGTAAGTCTTAATTGGCGCGTTGTGCCTCAGTTGACCTATGCTTTTCATCAACCTCTGGCACCATGCCTTCCTGTTCAAATGATATTCTTCAAACAAACACTTCAGGTGACGAATAATGACTATGGGCTAGATAATGAGGGTGGACTTGGCCTCTCTCTGGTAATAACTAAGCCTGAGGATTCCCAGGCTATCTGAGTAGTACGGTACTCTATATGGCAAAGAACCATGTTGGAGAATTTCACCTACCAGGGCATCGTATCGTACCAGGGTAACCCATTGATGAACAGCCCCTTATATAAAGGGGCACAGTGACAGAGTCAACAAGGAACTGGGGTAACTGATGATTGCTGATAAAGACGTGAGTCTCTCCGGTCTCCTCCATTAGCGACAGAGATGCATTGTGATGGCCTCAAAGTGAAAAGGGTCTTACGTTACTATCTACACCATCTACACAATCCGCCTGGTGGACTGGGCTTTGTTGGAGTCCACTGGGATCTGGCTCCTACTGTCAGCCAGACTCCACAACAGGTAACTGATCCCAGAGATTTGGGTTTGATCATGACAGCGGCAGGACTTCCATTACCTTGTCAACAATAACCCTCTCTGGGAGGACTGCTGCTGCTGGCCACAGTGGATGATAGCCTGGCTGGCCATGCATGGTTCAACACCACCACCCACCGTCTTGCGGCTCAGCGGGGATTAGTAGCATAAGTGAAAAGGCGCTTTCCTCTTTGGCAGTGTCAGGGCCAAAGCATTCTGCCGGCCACTGTGAAAGAGTGGAAAACCTCAGGCCACCTTCAACCTGGCAAGGAAAGGACTATTACGGTGGATATTTTTTCACCTCAGGGGTAGCATTCCCTGTCAGACGTCTGGTGCTATATTGCCCTGAGGATGAATTTGTCAGAGTAGCATCCTGATAAAATTACCAGGTTGGCTGCCGGAGGAATAAGTCACAGGGTCATTGATCTCAGCACTGACTGACCTTGGCAGTAGAGAGTAGCACAGGAACGGTATCAACAGGGACAAAAACAACCACCTAAACAAATAGCAAGCTGGGCAAATTAGCTGCTAGACAATGAAGATAAACTGGGAGCCTGAAAGGCTTTTCTCCAGGAATCCTGCTAAGGTGACATAAATGTAGCTAATTAGGGTAACGGCCTTGGACAGCTATTAAAGTGTTGTTATTGCCGGGAGGACAAACTGCCATCGACAACCATGATCATTGATGACAGGGTCTGTTAAGCGGCCCGGCCTTAGCCAGGGCAGGGGAAACTAGGCTGGTCTGGACTGGCTGGAGAGTGGGAAGAAAAATTAGACACCTTATTCCACATGCAACACCACAAGTCTCACTAATAAGGGTGAACTCTGCCCCTGTTGCTATGGGAACCCTGGTGTGGGTAATATTGGGAGGCAGGGAAGATAAATCCCTGTGGAACTCGATATCTGTCCAATATGACGGTATAATGGATGAAAACAGAGGAACCGAGTAGTTGCCTGTTTGTTTTAGCACCCAGATGCGGAGGAGCAGTTACACCTGCCAGCTGCACTGTAGCTACATGTCAGCTGGAGGGGAGAGCTGTGTGTGTGTATGTGTGTGCGCACATGCAGTGGGGGGCCAGATCATCCTGCAGTCCCGCAGTTTCATTCTGCCTAGGTCAAATAAAAACAGTCCTCCATTCTGAGATGGGAGAGTGTAGGGGCTCTGTTTGCTTTCTGTACTGATTAAAGCAGTTCGCACAGGGACCCTTCCCATGGTGCCCTGCGCTCAGAGCTGACAGCGGCAGACATAGAAGCGTGAGCCCCAATACTCAAAGGCAGCAAAGGGAGATGAGGAAGGGGGGCGAATAAACCGTTGAGCAACGAAAAGAGAGGGAGGAAGAAACAAAAGTGTCTTGTAAATATTTTAATAGTCCCCATTCCTGTTTATGCCCCGCGGACATCTATGTTTGCAGCCAAGTTCGGCAGGGTAGACTCTGCCGTGGTACTGGCCCCGGGTACTAAAGAGGCTGGCGTTTATGCAAGCCCGCCACAACCAGAATGCAGATTAACCAGCTGCTTGTGTTTTGGCTAAGGGGAACCAAATGGGAAAAGCAAGAGCCCAATGGGCTTTCAAACATTGATGATCCGATGGTGTCCAAGGTCAACCTCTGAGGGGTGTCCTTCGAAACCAGCCTTTAGGGCTTTCTTTCAAACAAGTCATACAGCTCAGTCAAATAAAAGTACAATCTAAGGACTGTCCACATACACCATGCCAGCCTTGTTAACACTAGTCCTTTGAATGTACAGTAGGATCAGTATTCTGCAGCACAGCCTGCAGAGGAGACTATTCTACCCCCGGGAGAGAAAGAAGGTGTCCTCGGTGGACAAGCTCAGGAATCTAGTAAGCCTGTAAGATGCCTGACAAGACTGGTTGGTTGTCGTGTGGCAGACAAATCACTGTGGAGACCGGGGAGGAAGAGATGCGTCAGACCCGCTAGACTTATGAAGACATATCTGCCTGTTCAAGAGTCTTGTTTCACCACCCCGATGCTCCGTTGACGAGAGCCCTGTTGCAACGAAAGGATACATTAAGTCCTGACATTCATCACTGATGTCTCGGTTTTATGTTTGGATAAAAAGCGGGTGAAAAGAGTGGGACAAGAGAGAGGGTGTCGTCTGAGCAAGCGCCTGGAATTTCTCTCTACAGAGCTCGCCTCATCATCCTTAGGGTTTGCCTGAGATAAGACAAGCTTCCGTCAAGAACAAAGCCCTTTCATACTGCGCTGATCATAATGGCTTTGTATTGTTGTTGAAGAAATATTGTTTTCAGGAGATATCAACCGCAGAAGATGATTGTGGCAGTTATATTAGGACCATAATTCTGTCGTATCTATCAGATTTGGTAAAACTTCTGATATGGCATATATCATGTCAAGATATGTAAAATGTAGGTGTCACCCGTGACGATGTAACTCATTGAGTGACTGCAGCAGTAGTGTAGTGATTCTATGATAAAGCAGTAATGTTAGTGAGAGAGAGAGAGAGAGAGAGAGAGAGAGAGAGAGAGAGGGAGATTGCCCATCACTATGAGAACAGGACACAGTAGGAGGTGGTGATGGTGGAGGGTGAGCGAGGACAGACACAGTAAAACAGACTAAGAGGAGGGGAGGGGGTCATACTCGTCCTGGGCCGGTGCAGGTGCAGCAGTGGAGTCTGCCGGGGCCTCGGAGCCTTTGCCCGGGGCATCAAACACATCCTTGGCCAGGCCGTCTATCTGTAAGTCCTTATTCTGACTGTCGCTGGCGGAGGGGCTTTGGACAGACTCGTGCTGGCTCTGTGGCGCGGCATCGGCTTTGGCAGAGGGGGGGTTGGAGGGGACCTTGGCTGGCTCTGAGGAAGGGGCTGAGGGGGTGGGGGGCTTGGGGTTGGATAAGGGCGTGGCTTTAGGAGCCTCGCTTAGGTCGACGAGGGGTGCCACGTTGGATTGGGTGGCAGGCTGGGGGGTGGGGGTGCTAGCTTTGGGCGTGCTGGACTGGGGGATCGGGGCGGGAGTGCTTTTAGGGGAGGTTTTGTGGTTCGTTTTGGACTCAGCCGAGACAGGGGTTGGGCCAGCTGTGCTGGAAGTGAGAGTGGTGCTCTCGCTAGCTGGGCTGTTCTGGCATGTGCTAAAGCTCTCAGTGATGGGGTCAGAGTTAGTGGCGACAGAGGGGAGCAAGTCCACCACTGTGGCGGTAGTGTCACCAGCGGGCCTGTGAAGAGAAAAAAGCAGGAAAGAGAAGAGCCATCGAGCCGCAAGAGGGTGAGAGAGGAAAAAGAGAGCAGGGAGGGGTAGGGGGGTGAGGCCAAGGCACAAACAGACATCCAGTGAGTGCTACATGCAGTGATAAAGCAAAGAACTAGAGATTCAAAACGTTAAAGTGCAGTGAGGGATAGACACAGACACTATTTTAAGCAAACTAAAGCAAATTAAATCAAAATCAGGTGGTTAAGGGGTTAGTACAACAACTATTTTTGCTACCATCAGCATAAACAACAAACATCTGAGCACATCTTCAGTAAGGTTTTGATATTCCATTCTCCCATTACTTTATCAATTAGTTTAGCCAATATGTCAGCAAAAGCATTATCAAAACACTCAACTGCTGTCATTATGGAATAAGAAGTATGTCTTATGCATAGACATATTACACGATTAGTATGGGTTTGCCAGTGTAGGGCAACCCCAGTGCAGGGGTTCTACCCACAGCCAGTACTGGAGTACTCACTCAGGCTCGGTCAGAGGGGTGGTCTCATTAGGCTCTGTGGGTCCCCCCCCTTCATGGTTAGGAGTGCGCTCCTCCTCTGTCCTCACCTCCACGATGGGCCCCTTTGACTCATCCTTCCTGTAAAGGGAAAAAGTATGTTAAATAAATGCTGGTGCAGTACAAGTATACTGTGGTGAGTCATTTTTGTTTGAAAAACACTGCAATTCTGCATTGTCAAACTGTGGCCCATTGTCTGAGAGCAGCTACTGTGGGATGCTGGATGACACTCAAATTGCATACAGCATTTCAGAGAGAAGAGCAAGGGAGCCAGGGAGCAGAGAAGAAGAGAGACTCACGTGAACGCCGCCTTGCCCTCCTCGAGGTCCTTGCTCTTGGCTCCGGGTCCGGACTTGCCGCAGAAGTTGACGGCAATGCACATGACGAGGCCACACTTGTTGAGGAAGTAGCAGGTGACGTCGATGCCCACCAGCAGCAGCACAAAGACCACAATGAGGATCCCCACGATGGCCCCTGTGCCCAGGCCTGAGCCACTATCCATAGTGTCTGGAAGGAAGGTGAGAGAAGGACGAAGGGAGGAAGAGAGAGAGAATAAGGAAGAACGAGAGAGTGGAGAGAAAGTTAGAGAGGGAGGGAGAGAAACGGGGAGAGAGGGAGTTAAAGAGAAAGTTGGTGAGAGAGGACGAGATAGAGACAGAGAAATGCTGAGTCAGCATTAGTCTCCACCCTTTCATCCATAACTTAAGACTGTCAGACTGCTTCTCTCCAGGCCTCAAGTGTGTTGTTGTTCTTTGAGAAGGCTCTGGGCCAAATCATTACATATTCTACTAAAAATACATCAGTGATGCTATGCAGAAAAAAACAACTAATTTTGATCTGTTAAGACTCTAAAAATAGGTTGATGGTCTGATTATCAAAGAAGACACACTTGGGCCTAGAGAAATCACACAGCATTGCATTAGTTGCATTCAACCGATAAACAATGGTCAGTTACTATCCAACTTAATATGTTAGACACACTGCATGTATCAGCCATCTAAGGTATTATATTAAGAGGTGAGCTGATAAATATATGACCCATATTAGGGCCACACACCAGACATGCCCATCACGACATGCTACACTAATCAAATCTAAACATCACAACATGAAGGAAATCTAAATGGGGCATCAATCAAAAATCATAAACCGGTCAACCATTGGAGCACCTGGTTCATGTTACCAAACTTTCCCCAAAATAAGATAAAACAACATTAAATAAAGATGCTTGTCTTCATATCATCATTGCCTATACGGGTCTATATGCCTATATGACCCCATATGGGTCTGTCGCTTACCCACTCTCATTATTGTTGACAGTTGTAAGACAAAGCAAAAGGCAGTGGAAAGACGGTAACATCAATCAAACATTGTGCAAATATGTTTAAATCTCTTTTACATAGATGAATACTGCACACAAACAAATGCACACACAAATAAACAATGCGGAAATAAAGCATATTAGAAGGGCAAAAAACAAAGGCAATGGATTGTGTTTTCATGAAGCAAACATACACACAAGCTACAGTACTTACCAGAAAAGTTTATATCCAGGACTATGTAAAATACTACAATATTAGTAAGAATCTACAATACAGTCCCTTCAGAAAGTATTCACACCCCTAGACTTTTTCCACATTTTGTTGTGTTATAGCCTGAATTTAAAATGGAGTAAATTGAGTTTTTTTGTCACTGGCCTACACACAATACCCCATCATCTCAAAGTGGAATTATGTTTTTCAATTTTTTTTTAACAAATTCATTAAAAATGAAAAGCTGAGATGTTGCAAGTCAATAAGTATTCAAGCCTAAATAAGTTCAGGAGTAAAAATGTGCTTAACAAGTCATATAATAAGTTCCATGGACTACTCTGTGTTCAATAATAACGCTAAACATGATTTCTGAATGACTACTTCATCTCTGTACCTCACACATACAATCATCTGTAAGGTCCCTCAGTCGAGCAGTGAATTTTTAATTTTTTATAATTAATGTATTATTTTTTTCATTTTTTGTTGTTATTTTTTTATTTTATTTTTTGTCATTTAGCAGACGCTCTTATCCAGAGCGACTTACATGAGCAATTAGGGTTAAGTGCCTTGCTCAAGGGAACATCGACAGATTTTTCACCTAGTCGGCTCAGGGATTAGAACCAGCAACCTTTCGGTTACTGGCACAACGCTCTTAACCACTAAGCTACCTGCCGCCCCAAACACAGATTCAACCACAAAGACCAGGGAGGTTGTCCAATGCCTCACAAAGAAGGGCACTTATTGGTAGATGGGTAAAAATAAAAAAGCAGACAATGAATATCCCTTTGAGCATGGTGAAGTTATTAATTACACCTTGGCTGGTGTATCAATACACCCAGTGACTACAAAGATACAGGTGTCCTTCCTAACTCAGTTGCCGGAGAGGAAGAAAACCGCTCAGGGATTTCACCATGAGGCCAATGGTGACTTTAAAACAGTTACAGAGTTTAATGGCTGTGATAGGAGAAAACTGAGATTGGATCAACAACATCGTAGTTACTCCACAGTACTAACCTAATTGACAGAATGAAAAGAAGGAAGCCTGTACAGAAAAAAATAATATTCCAAAACATGCATCCTGTTTGCAACAAGGCACAAAAGTAATACTGCAAAACATGTGGCAAAGCACTACATTTTTGTCCTGAATACCAAGTGTTATGTTTGGGGCAAATCCAATACAACACATTACCTGGTACCACTCCCCATATTTTCAAGCATAGTGGTGGCTGCATCATATTATGGGTATGCTTGTAATCGTTAATGACTGTGTAGTTTTTCAGGATAAAAAATAAATGGAATGGAGATAAGCTCAGGCAAAATCCTAGAGGAAAACCTGGTTCAGTCTGCTTTCCACCAGACATTCGGAGATGACTTCACCTTTCAGCAGGACAATAACCTAAAACACAAGGCCAAATCTACACTGGAGTTGCTTACCAAGAAGAAAGTGAATGTTCCTGAGTGGCCGAGTTACAGTTTTGACTTAAATCTACTTGAAAATCTATGGCAAGACCTGAAAATGGTTGTCTAGCAATGATCAACAACCAATTTGACTGAGCTTTAAGACATTTGAAAAGAGTAATGGGCAAATGTTGCACAATCCAGGTGTGGAAAGCTCTTAGAGACCTACCCAGAAATACTCACAGCTGTAATCGCTGCCAAAGGTGCTTCTACAAAGTATTGACACAGGGGTGTGAATACTTATGTAAATGCGATATTTCTGTATTTAATTTTCAATAAACGTTCAAACATTTCTAAAAACATGTTTTCACTTTGTTATTATGGGATATTGTGTGTAGATGGGTGAGAAATAATATACATTTTATACCTTTTGAATTCAGGCTGTACCACAACAAAATGTGGAATAAGTCAAAGGGTTTAAATACTTTCTGAAGGCACTGTATGTATTGCTCCACTACAATGGATGAGCATGTATCCACACTGTTTATACTCTGCCTTCGACACACATTGTTCTACATGAACTCACACACAAACACACACCACACATGATCATGAACAGACCACAAAACTGTTAAACAGATGAATGTTTCACCAAATAATTATTAGTATGCTTTGTGTCAAATCAATCTCACACAATCAAATTTAGAAATAATTTGCAACTAATTTACATTCAGTAAACAGACACACAAAAAGATTGGATATTTGATCCGACAGAATAATCTAAAAGTGTTAATTCAAATCAAACAAGAGCATTTGGAGTATGGTTGATTTGACACAATGCTCTACACATGACAAACAGGTTAGATAGAATTATGATGACAGATCTAAATTCAATTCCAGTTTTTGTTAGCTCTGTTAGGTGTCAAATATGAGACAATTTATATTCTGAATTAAAGCAAAACACAGGCAATTCTCGATTTGGACTTACTCTTTGCTCTTGTCATATTGAGAATGTCAGGATGTCCAAATGTCAGACTCCTACACCACACAGTATTCACAGTATAATCAATGCAACAAAATGTACTTGATTCATTCTATGATTTACTGGAAAACCATCACTTATCAAACAGGGTAGGCTTCAGGGTAGGCGTTTATTTGGGTCATATGAACCATCATGCAATTTAATTTACATTGTTCCCTTTCTGAGTTTTTCTCCAGTATCACTGGCTTACAAATGTGTGTAAGGAGACTGATTGAGACTCAGCTGCACAGAAAGGATGTGCATCTTTATGCAAATCCACTCTATATACACTGGTACCTTGAGAGGGAGGATACTTTGTGTGGCAGAAACACTTGATTGATGTATTTGTAAAATGTAATAGTCTTGTCAGACCGGAGTTTATTATATCTGTCACTGTCACTGATTGCTCTTCTATGAAATTATGTTGTTGACATTATGCATAAAGAGGGATGATATAACTGTAAGTAAAAAATAAATACTGGCAATAGTTGACAAAGATTTAGCATCATGCAGTGTATACAGTGGGGAAAAAAAGTATTTAGTCAGCCACCAATTGTGCAAGTTCTCCCACTTAAAAAGATGAGAGAGGCCTGTAATTTTCATCATAGGTACACGTCAACTATGACAGACAAAATGATCATTTTTTTCCCAGTAAATCACATTGCAGGATTTCTTATGAATTTATTTGCAAATTATGGTGGAAAATAAGTATTTGGTCAATAACAAAAGTTTCTCAATACTTTGTTATATACCCTTTGTTGGCAATGACACAGGTCAAACGTTTTCTGTAAGTCTTCACAAGGTTTTCACACACTGTTGCTGGTATTTTGGCCCATTCCTCCATGCAGATCTCCTCTAGAGCAGTGATGTTTTGGGGCTGTCGCTGGGCAACACGGACTTTCAACTCCCTCCAAAGATTTTCTATGGGGTTGAGATCTGGAGACTGGCTAGGCCACTACAGGACCTTGAAATGCTTCTTACGAAGCCACTCCTTCGTTGCCCGGGCAGTGTGTTTGGGATCATTGTCATGCTGAAAGACCCAGCCACGTTTCATCTTCAATGCCCTTGCTGATGGAAGGAGGTTTTCACTCAAAATCTCACGATACATGGCCCCATTCATTCTTTCCTTTACACGGATCAGTCATCCTGGTCCCTTTGCAGAAAAACAGCCCCAAAGCATGATGTTTCCACCCCCATGCTTCACAGTAGGTATGGTGTTCTTTGGATGCAACTCAGCATTCTTTGTCCTCCAAACACGACGAGTTGAGTTTTTACCAAAAAGTTCTATTTTGGTTTCATCTGACCATATGACATTCTCCCAATCCTCTTCTGGATCATCCAAATGCACTCTAGCAAACTTCAGACGGGCCTGGACATGTACTGGCTTAAGCAGGGGGACACGTCTGGCACTGCAGGATTTGAGTCCCTGGCGGCATAGTGTGTTACTGATGGTAGGCTTTGTTACTTTGGTCCCAGCTCTCTGCAGGTCATTCACTAGGTCCCCCCGTGTGGTTATGGGATTTTTGCTCACCGTTCTTGTGATCATTTTGACCC